TTCACCTGCTCTTGAGACCCCACAGCACTCATGAAACTTGGAAAATGCCCCCTCTTCTTAAAATAAGAAGTAGGCACATATTATGCTAGAATTTTATTGTGTTCTAAATTGTAATCTACACTTGCCTCCTCCCCCCCTTCCTGCTAAGAAGCGGACAAGCCTCCAAGGAAAGAGGCAATGTGAATTAAACTGTGACTTTCTCTATGGTGTTGCAAGTGATCCTACAACACACGAGATCAAGTAACAGATTATATGAGCACATGAGAGCAGATGCTCCTCACTGACGGGGTGTTTTCTTTCTTCAAGATACTTATGAACCGCACACATACAAAACAGAGAGACATGAACACGTAACAAAGACAGAGAAAGAGAAAGAGGAAGGTTAATATTAGCAGCAAATGCTCAGAAAGATCTCTTGGGCAAAACCTGACAGAGGCAGAAAGGAAGAGAGGGTCGGAGGAAAGGTTGCCAGATTCTGATTTCAGTTCCAAGGATTTAAATCCACCTCAAGGACATAGTGATTCCTGTGTAAATGCAAACTGAGATCAGAATAAGGTCCACTGGCACCAAACCATCCACAGAACTATGGAAGAGTTCAGGAGAGAACGGGTGCATGCTCCAGATCTGAAACCTCTTGTGCATAGGGTTATGATGTTGTTCGTTTGCTTTGGCTTAAAAAACAAACCAACCCCAATGCAATTCAGGATTCTTGGAAGATGCAAAATTCCGCTGAAATGAAGGGACAGGAGAATCTCCCCACATTCAGGTGGTGATGCTGCCAGCATCCCACACCTCGGCTGCTCCTGTCCCCCCTCAGCCAAGTCTGGGGGGGGAAGGCAACACGCCGGTGCTCCGGGCCACCCTCCCCCCCCCCAACCTGCAAGCACTACCTGCAAGCACTTCCAACGCAAGAGCAGCATCAGCTGTTACAAGTTTTCGGCTACACTTCGAAATTTGCTCTCACCCCGCCCCCCCTCCAACATTCACAGTCTGCAGAAAGGAAAAGCAAAACCCAGCGAGTGGGAGCCGAATCCAAGGGAAAGAAAGTTAAGTTTGGGCATGAGGCGTCTGCAAGGCTGCTGGTCTTTGGTTGCCCAGGCACTTCCCTGCCCCAGCCTTCCCGGCTTCCCGCTCCCCATCCCTCCTTCCACGCCCTGGAGCGCCCTCAGTTTCCCCTCCGCTCACCTGCCAGTCCCTTTCCAGCATCTTCGCCCTACGCAGCGCCGCGTTCACCTGCCGCCGCCGCCGCCGCCGCCGCCCTCCTCGTCCTCCCGCTCAAAATCTGCCTCCGTTCTAATTCCAGCCGAGCTGGAGGCAGCAGCAGAAGCAGCTCCTTTCGAAGCGCCCGCCTCCCGCCTCGCCCGCCAGAAGTCCTACTAAGAGCCTCGCCTCAGAGGACGGCGTGCCCCCCCCCCCGCAGCTCCGGCGGCGGGCCCGGGAGAGGGGCGCGCGCTGCTTGCCCGCCCGCCTGTCTTCCTTCCCGCCAAGAAGCTGCCCCGTCACGGTGTGTAGGGAACGGGAGCCGGGCTTCGTGGGTTTCGCCTCCCCGCTGGAGCCCCTCCGACCGGCGAGGTCGCTGGCAGCCACCTGACAAGCCTCTTCAGCGCGCGCCAGGCTCTGCGCCAGAGCGAGGGCGGGAACGCAAAGTCCTACCTTGAGCGCCTTCGCGGCCAGACCCGGTTGCTGCCGCCGCCTCCTCCTCCTCCGCCGCCGCCGCCTTGTCTTCTGCTGCCGAGGGGAAGAAGGGAGTGCGACCCCCTCCTTTCCACCTGCCCTTGCGCTGCCGCCGCTTCTGCCGGGCACTCTCGCAGGGAGAGGGAGCGGGGCCGCTCTCTGGCGCGCTCTCCCTCCCTCCCTCCCTCCCTCCCCGCTGTTATTTTGCAGCCTGCAGTAACGAGCTCTTTCTGTCATTCCTTCTCCTCGCAACTCTCTCCGGCGCGGTGCTTCTATCTCTGTCTGTCTGTCTGTCTTTCCCTTTCGCAGAGTAGAGTAGGAGCTGCTGCTGCTGCTGCTGCCGCCGCTCAAGAGCCGCGCGGCCGGCAGGGGAACGTTCAGTCCGAGAGAACAAAGCGGCCAGTGGCAGGCACCGCCGGCCCGCCAGCCAGCCAATGAGCAGCCGCGAATGGCATCAAAGGGGAGCTTTACCTGCGCTCCATCCTTGCCAAGGGCTCTGGGCGAAGGGAGGAGGAGGAGGGAGGAGGAAATAAATAAATAGATAAATAAATAAAAGGAAGGAAGGAAGGAAGGAAGGAAGGAGAGGGGGCCTTTCTTAGGAAGTAAGCGGGGGTGGGACATAGGAGGAAAGAGAGAGCGCTAGGTTTGGTGTCAAAGCAAAAGTGATGCCGGATGCCCCCTAAATTAAGGAGGGGGCTCCCCTCTCCCTTCTCCGCCTCCTCGCAGCATTTATGCCCCCCTTCCCCCCTCTTCGGCTGACTCAGGCAGGGCAAGAGGAGATTGATATGGTAATAAGACCGGGGTGGCCATACTTTCTCATTACTGTGGTAACAGAGGGGGGTAAGGGAGTTCAGGACAAAGGCCGTCAGCGAGGAGAACAAAACCAATGGCTCGCCCTGGAATGTCTGCCATTTCTCTCTCTCCCTTCCTCCTACTCCTCCTCTTGCTCTAGGTTTCTTTTTCTTAATTGAAAGCGCCCATTTGCAAGCCACAAAGGGACAAGTCCGCCGCGGGAGGGGAAAGAAGAGATGAGGAGGGAGGAATCTTCTTGCCTTAACGCTGCCTGCCCTGAAAGCTTCCCCCTTCATAAAACATGTAGTAAATGTCAATACACACAAGCTCGTTAAAGTTACCCCACACGGCGTTTTAAAAGGGAGAAATGCTGTGTGTGTCTATTGAAGGGGGGTGATGGGTGGAATTAGGTTATTGGAAATGAGTTTCGCTTCCTACCCACCCACCCTTTGCCCATCCATTCAATCTTCCCACCCAGCTAGTAGTCCTGTGGCTCTAACCCCCCCTTTTTTTTACTCATTGGAAAAGGGCCCTTTCCCCTCCCCCATTAAATCATGGTAAGCTTAAGGCAGATAAAGTGGGTGGGAAACAAGAGTAGCTACACTGGTTGTCCCAACTCAAGAGGGGAGTATTGGGGGCAAACAGGAGCCTTCACGGTGGAAACTCCCTTCTAGGAAGATGTTTAAAAGAAGTTGCTTAAGTTAAAACTGCCCTTCCTTAGCTGCAAAGGCAGGGGGGCATCCCCTCCCCACGGTGTCACCACCAGCAGCGTCTCTGAAGTCCGTCCCCCACCCCAACCATTTTACTGGATCACTGCTACCAGTCTAAGGATAAGTAGCATTCTGGGAAGGAGGGTCTTTTACACACACACATTCATTTTTTTCATTGCTGCCAATTTGTGGCTTGTGCGGGATTGTAAAGCCTAGCAGTGTAAGAGGCCCGACTGTTCCCAGACATTCCCAGGAACGTCCACAAAAACAGTCATGAGCTGCCTCTCAACAACTTTGTACTACTAGTCACTTCAGCTCACTCCCCAGCCCAGGCCCAAGGCTAGCCCTAACTGCTGCAACTCTGCTGCTGCTGTCATAGCAAATGTGCCTCCCAGACATTTTAGACTACAGTTCCCAGTATCCCTGACTACCAGCTATGCTGGCTGGGGATGATGGGACTTGTTGGCAAACAACATTTGCAGGACACCATGTTAGCTACCCTGATGCAGCAGGGACATATCACATGTTAGGGACTCATGTAAATTCATTAATTGTAGATTTGGTTGGAAGAGCGGTTTTAATTCACTCTTGCATTTCTGTTTGCTCTTTTGGTCACTCGCCTGTGATTGAGCCTAGTGCTGGGTATGCCTGGGGACATGGATCCAGCTGCTCCCAATCTGAAGTGTAGCATTGCTGGAAGTTATTCGTGGGAATGTACTACACTGTTTAATGTTCACAATGTGGTGTTCATCATATTGGAGAGATGTGGCAAGTTTAAGCATCGGTTTGTATATCATCCTTGAAAGCACATGTGCTGAGCAATCGTAAGGATATTTACTCTGGAGAAATCCAACTGAGTTCCATGGAACATTCACTGGTGTTTGGTCTCAAAATTGCAAACTTAGAATGTGGTGAACAGAGAAGAGAAAAATACTATCCAAAGCCCTCATTCCTTCTTTTCCAGTTAACAGACATGCTTTAAATGCCAACATTAAATAAACTGTGCTGGTCACATGAAAACTCAAGACAGTGGGTTCAAAACATAATTTGCACACCAGTGAACATTTTGTAACTATTGATTCCAGGTATTGTAACTCCTATATGGGTGCAGTTGTGATTGTTGACACAATCCACTTTTGCAGAGAGGTGTGGATCTTGTTGCACCTTCTGCTTAATCTCAGATAGGGATGCAAAGGGAATGTGTCAAGTCTCTCCAGTCCTCTCTGGTGTCTCCTGCTTTCAAGAAGGTGGTATAGGGGGACTGGAGCTGCACACCTGGAATGCATCTCCGGGTACAAAAAAAAAGTGTTCTCCTTCTGCAGCACAACCTCTCTACCCATCCTTTTATAGGTCCTCTGCTTCCACAGAATGAGTGTGAGGATCTATGTTGTGTTTTGACTCAGGGCTTGGGAAAATAGGGACCCTCGGTTTCTGGCTAGGGCACAAGAAACTGTCACATATGGTGATTCAGAGACATGTCCACAAGAAAAAAAAGGAGTTAACTGCAATGACTGGGTTGGGGTTAAGGGCTGTAGCTGTAGCTCAGTGATGTAGCATATGTTTTGCATGCAAATAGTTCTTCTGGGTTCAGTTCCTGGCATCTCCAGGTAGAGCTGAGAAAGCCTTCTCTCTGTAACTCTGTGGAGCCACTGATAGTCAGTGTCAGCAGCAGCACGTAAGTAGGCAGAGTGGCAGAAGTACCCTTCTGGTGGTGACACTGTGCTCACCAGGAAGGCAAAAGGCAGCTGTGAGGTCATACAAATCATAAAATCATTGATTTAGAAGGGACTCTTGTCCAACCCCCTGCAATGCAGGAATATGCAGCGGTTCTTACGGGGTTCGAACCTGCAACCTTGACACTATCAGCACCATGTTCTAACCAGCTGAGCTATCCAGGCTGAGCTCTGTGAACACCTGTGGGGCTGCCACCACTCTGCATCCTGCACAGTAGATAACAGATGAATCAATGGGATGAGGCAGCTTCCTGTGCTAATCATTACCATTGATCTGCAAGTGGGAAGAACTACAATAATTGTATTTTGATAAAGCCCACAACAGTTGATGAGTTCAATCACAGAGCTTACATTTGACATACAGTATACAGGTTGCTGCTTTTAGGGAATGCACCCTTGCATCTGGGACACCCTGTTAGCTGTGTGCCCATAGGAGAAGGGGCAGGATGAAACTAGTGCAATGCAAGCTGAAGGGAAGGGACATACAAACTGTGCAGAAGTTAATTGTGAAGCACTTGGGGGTATAATTGACATGCTTTGCCCCTGGGCACCATAACTCTCCTTATCTAATGATATTAGTTGGCTGCAGGCTCTCCTCTGATTCTGCCTAGAGGCTAAATCTGGCCTATATTTTTCCAGTTTTAACATGTCAGCAACTTCTCTCCTGGAGACCAAAACACTGTCCCATCAATGCTCACAAGCTCCAGGCACCAGCCAGGAGACAGGGTGGGCTAGTGATGGTGACCAAATGCTAATCATAATTCTGTTTGTGCAGTACTATTAACACAATGGCCCAAGCACGAGGGAGAACTTTACTTAGGTTGGTGGAGTGGGGGCACTTGGGTCTGCAAGCTCACTATCACAACGTGGAGAAATGAGTCTATATTTCAGAATATGCTTGAGGAAGTTTATACAAACTCAATTCCCTTTATCTATACCAGCATACAGATCTTATGAGTTTTGTTGGAGCCAAACAGTTCTAAACAGTGAGTTGCTGGTTCAGGCCTTGCTCTAATATCTACAGTTCAAACAACGTAGAGGTGCACCACTATTTATGACATGCACTCTGAAGAATTTCAAACCCCACAGTTCCCTTTGGCAGGTAAGTAGAAGCCCAAAGGGTGTGGCATTTGATTGCCAGTAGGAGGAAGCGACAGATGCCATCATAATCAGAGAAGCTGCAATCCCAGCCCATGCTGCTGATACGATTGAATGGCCCCAGAACATATATGAGTAAATTAGGGAGCAATCCTAACCTCTTCCCCAGCCCAGGAGGGCATTACAGAACAGCAGAGCCACCACAGGATCTGCAGCCCTTCGGCACATTTTGATTGGGGTGAAAGGTGAAGGGGCGCTGTGCCAGCCTGGAGCGGATGCAGCTCTTGCATCTGGCTCTGGCTCAATTCCATCGTTTTATTAATTTATTACATTTATTAAATTTCTTCACCCAAGGATCACAGGGTTGTTTTACAATATAATCATGCGATGGAAGCAAGACATGCACAGGATCCGACGGATTCTAAGCTGGCTCAGCATCATTCCTGGAAAGCCCCATTTCAGGACTTCCCAATGGTAGCAGTTCTGCCAATCCACTGACTCATTCAGCAGTGGAAGGGAGAGTACTGTACCAGCAGAGTGTCACTGACATCCCTCCACGGGCAGCAGCGGGCAGGAGGCCAGCAGGGCTGAGCAAAGGGACACCTTCACCCAATCCAACACTGCTGCCCCCAGCCCAACACAATGTCTGGATCGCTCCACTGCCCCTGGGCCTCTGGTCTCCAAATTGTGTAGAAAAACCGATACACTTAGGGAGAGGGAAGGCACACAAAAGGTGTTGGCATGTATATAACATACCCTACGGATGTGTCTAGGCATAAATACAAATCAGCCACTCAGAAATGCAAAGAGGCTAAACAAAGGGATCTAAAGCTGAGAGGCACAATGTAATCTTCCTTAAAACAAAAACAGAAAACACCCTATAGGCAAGCCCTTTGGGTTGGTATGATCCTTGGGTACTAGCCATCAGCAAACATGGCACTAAATGACAAAGCTCTGCCCCAAAGGATTTTGCAATTTGAAATCAACAAGTGGGGGAAGCAACAGAAGGAGTGGAGGGTGTGATAAGGGTAGCGAGGGATGAATGCTAACAACTGATGAATGTGAACAAATGCAGTTACACGTACTTAAACTTGTTTACAGCTGGGGATGAGGATTAAAGAATTAAGCCAAAGCCCTTATGGAATAGATGAGTTTTGAAGAGGAACACGTGGAAATGAGTTACAGGCATATGAGGCAGTGTGAGACAATGGGCAGAGTCAACTGAGAGAACAGTAGACTTTAGGGCAGAGAGTCCTGGGAGAGAATATATTGGAGAACAAGCATGGGCATAGCCAAGATTTTTGTTGGGGGGGGCACAGGCCTTTTTTTGAGGGGGAGCATAACCTCAGTTTGCGATGTATTTTTATTGATTTGCGGGGGCAGCTGTCCTTCCCTGCCCCCCCAACTATGCCCATGAAAAAAAGGGCAAGGGCTGTGTGAAGAGCCTTAAAGACAGACAATGAGTCTGTGTAGTGTGTGAAAGGAAAGGAAAAGTAGGGTAGGGATTCGAGGAGGACTGTGTGACTGGATAAGTCACAGAAAAAGCTCTCCCTATAGAGGTGAGAGGACTGAGGTGTGACATGGGGAGGCCAAATATGTTTCAGTAGTTAAAAGCAGGAGATGAATAGGAGCATAACCCAGAGAAATGCTACAGGTATGAGGTGATGAAGGGGCAGGTAATGACCCACTGTCCTGACCCAGCAGTAGTAATGGCCTAGGAAATGCTAAGGAAAACAATGAAGCAACCACACTGGAATTAAAAAAAAAGAAACCAGTGAACTTAATCACATGCCTAAATGATTTGGATTACTGTACGTGCTCTACATGGGGCTGCTTTGAAAACTTCTCCAAAACTTCAGCTGGCTCAAAGAGCTGCAGCCAGATTGTTGACCAGGGTTGGTTATAGGGCACATAAGACACCATTGCTGGAACAGCTCCACTGCCTCCCAGTCTGTTTCTGGGCACAATTCACTTATAAAGCGCCAAATGGCTTAGATTCAAGCTATCTGAAAGGCCATATTCCTTCATATGAACCTGCCCAGGTTTTGAGATAATCAGGGAAAGTCCTTCTCTCCATCCTGCTACCCTCATGGGCATGCTTGATGGGGACGTGGGAAAGGACCTTCTCGGTAGCTGCTCCCAGACTTCGGACCTCCATCCCTAGAGAAGCTAGGCTGGCTCCCTCCTTGTTGTCCTTCCACCGGCAGGTGAAGATCTTCTTGTTCCAGCAGGCTTTTGGGAACTGACTACTTTTAATTAAAGGGCTGGTGCCATGCTGTTTTTATTGTAACTATTAGCATGTTTAAAACAGTTTTTGTTATATGTATATAGTTTTAATTCTATATACGTATAGAATTTGTATTTAATGATTGGTTTTTCTATGTTTTTAGTGGTTCTTGCTTTTATCTGTAATCTGCCTTGTGTCCCGCCAGGCGGTATATAAATGAATATAATAATAATGATGATAATGATAATAAATGAAACACCCTGGGCTAGGTTCCACAAATTTATGGCCTGGTTCAGATGTACATTTTCTGGGAACCATTGTTTAGTATCACTTAAAGGGTGATGGGTGAAAGTGAAAGCAGAGTTGAGTTTACGAAATGGGGAACTGGTTTAAATTTGGTTAACTAATGGGGATCTTAAACCATGCTCAAACTGTGGGAACCCAACTAACTAGGATGATCACACCAACACCCCAGGACACAAAGCGAGGAGGCGAAAGGAGAAGCATGTCATCCAAATGCTTGTTTCCAGCTTGTTAACCTATTATTTAACAAGCCAGAAAATGTATATCTGAATGGGGATCAGTTCACGGATCAGGAGACGTTGAAATTGTGGGCTGATTGGGACAACCTGCATTCTGGAGGTGAGTAATTGCGTGACTGATGGACAGTCCTATATTCATTTAAAGAAATAAAAAAGCTACTTTCATTGTTTTTAAGCATAACTTGGAGAGAGAGAGAGAGAGATTATTCTTTCAAAAAGCTTTTAAGAAGTACATACCGGTATATGTTTTGTGGATCTGACTTTTACCTACTGGCAGGCTTGGGAAAGTGGCGAGCATGAAATATATACTTTTTTAAAAGGACCTTGTTTCAGGGAAGCCTTCCAGATCCAGTATCCTTGTTTGTGGGGAAAGAGTACCTGATATTTGTGATGGTGTCATACCTGTTTATTTACAAAAATACAGCCTGAGCAGGTGGGAACCCAGTAGGCACACAGACTGGTGCTGTTAATCCAAAAGCAGTGTTATTCCAGCATCCCAAGATTCTAAAGGGAGATAAGGGAGCCAGAAACCTCTTAGCAACCTTTCTCTGCTGGCTCCAAAACCCAAAATTCTTTCCCTTTGTCTGATCAAAATTCAGACTGTACATGCTGTTCTTTTCAGCTTCCACCCTGTTGGTAGGTGTGGTGCTAAGGTACTTTTAACAATGGGTTTTTAGGTAAAGATAAGGCATTAAGGAAACAACTATTGTTCAACAGCACATAGGGTAGCAAAGCCTTCCAGCGAGACAGAATTTAGAAAGTGAGGGTTATCTCTTGGTACAGCTGAGCAGCATGAGCCAAAACAGTGTAATTCTGAAAGTTATAATGTTCTTAATAAATAGATTGTGCTGAAGTTCCCTTGTCCAGTCGTCACAGTGTTTTCACCAATCCAGTTCAAATTTACAAGATTCATCTCGAAAGTTTTGAGAGAAGCTTAATTGCTCATGAAGCCTGGAGTTCCATACACACTTACTTGGGAGTAAGTCTCACTGACCTCAGTGGTACTTTCTTCTATGTAGGCAAACCTCATATTACACTGTAAAATGTCCTGTAGAAGTTACCATAGTGGTATGGGAGGTGCTTTTCTGTGGCGTCATCCAGTGGCGCTGCTATCATTTTTGAAGACCCAACTCCACTGCTAAGATTAGAGGTGACAATTGGGCAATGATGAAAGACCATAGGAAGCTGCCTTATGCTGAGTCAGACCATTGGTCCACCTTGCTCAGTATTGTCTACACTGATTGGCCTTAGCTCTCCAGAGTTTTAGGCAGGGGACATTCCAGTTCTATTTGGA